GAATATTCATATGCAGGAGGAAACTTCAGCATTGCTGTGTTTCATCAGCCACGACTGTGTACCAAATCACATGTTTAATCAGTGGCTTAATATTCAGAACAGGAAACAGCAATGGGGAATATGAAGGCAGTGACATAGAACTAGCTGCAAATCTCTACGGTCCAGTAAATTTCACTGACTGCATGCAGTGTCAAGGAATATCTGCTCTTCCAGTGCAAAACGACCACCGACTCTGATGGAAGCAAGTGAATTGTGAAGTGTTTTAAGACCCATAAGTTTTATGTTCAATATTCAGGCTGGAATTATTGCATTTAAACATATTTATTTATGTATTTTCTGTAAATTAATTTTCTGCTAACTATCACAAAATAGAAGTAAAACTAAGAGCTGCACCAGGGCTTTCCTGTGAAATTCCCACAAGAATTGAAATTAACCTTCGCTGCTGAAGTGCTAGGACACTCATAAGAAGATACAATATCGATGTGCAGTGTTCCAAGTTTGGGTGATCATAATTTGGAGCAACCTTCCTGTCAACTAGCTAAAGATACAGAAGTGGTTCTGAGGCATCTAAGGAAGGAAGTATAGTACCCATTTTCTTTCAGGCTGTGTTAATATTCTTGCTGTTTTGAACAGTTATATTTAAAATGTTTTATTTTTCTTTCAAGAAAGCAGTGTTTATTGCTACCAGTAATAAATACAACCATTATTGCTACGTTCCAGGCCTTTTGGTACTGCTACTGATTTATCTATACTTCAGCATTTGATGGTCCTGTTTATCAAAATTGTTTCTCATACATATAAGCAGATTTTTTCTTCTGTCATTTCCCATGGGGCCTTGAGCCTGTTCCAGTCCTAAACCTGGGGAACACTTGTGCTATTAGACCATTGAACGGCACAGAAAGATAGAAGAGCAGGTGCGACATGTTTGACGATTAAATGTGGTGAATCCTCCCATTTAGGTCATATGATTCCAGTTACATTTTCTAATCAACCAGTTCATAGATAGCATTACACACCTCTGGAGCAGATGGGACTTGAACCTGGACTTCCTAACTCAGAGGTAGGGACATTACAACTGTGCCACAAGAGGCCTTCCATGTTTGGTTTTTATAGCAGTCTAGCAGTTTCATGATTACTAAAGATGTGATTTATCCTTCTACTTCTATACTCAATTGAGTTTAGCACTAGAGATGACTAACTTTGAGGTCTGCTGACTAGTTTCTTTCCTAGCTCCCTAAAATCTGCTTGCAGGACATCATTCCACTTTCTAGATAAGTCATTGTTACTAATATGGGCCGGGAACACTCGAATGCTCAGGGCATTCTGTAACAGCCCAGTGATTCTCTTGACCTTGGCATCAGGGAGGCAGTATGTATCCTGGATTCATTTCTACCATTGTAGAAAGGCTTGTGCGCCCCCCACCCATAGATTCTCCTATCACTGTTGCTTTCTCAGTTTTCCTCCTGCCCTTTGCTCAGCAGAGTCAAGAGTGATATTTTGCATAAGGCTTTTACTGTACTCCCAGAGGAGCCATCACTCTCACCGGTATTCTGAACCGGTTTGAGATTCAGTGGAATCCTGCACTAGCTACCTGGTCCTTCTTGACCGCCTGGTGGTCACCCATTCCCTCTTTGCTGGCATGCCCTTAAATTGCAGGGCGATCACGTCAATAAATGTGCTATCCACAACACGTTCATTCTTATGACTGAGCCGCAGTGTCTCCAGTTGCTACTCAAGCCCTGAAACCCAGAGGTTAAGCTGCTGCAGCTGATAGCTCTTGCTCCAAGTGTGGTTGACCAGGGAACAAGAAGTGTTATAGATTTCCAACATGGAATATGATGCACATTCCACAAGTCTGAGCTGCCCTGTCATACTTCTGTTTATTCAACAATTGATCTGCCAACTTAAATAAATAAAAACCAAACATCTACTTAATAATTGGTTTTGAGGAAGGGCCACTCGACCTGAAACATTAACTCTGATTTCTCTCCACAGATGCTGCCAGACTTGCTGCACTTTTCCAGCAATTTTTGTTTTTGTTTCTGATTTATGGCATCTGCAGTTCTTTCAATTTTTACCTAATAATTGGCCATTTTTCTTGTGCTAAAGTCAATTTATTTTACAGAGCAATTAACTGAAATGTTATTAATTAATACATGTTCCTGAAATAACTATATAATTTTAGTTTATTGAAAATTTTCATTACCTTAGTGTTGCTGTCACTTCCTATTTGATTTTACCTTTATCCTGTAGGTTTGACTGATTTATTCATCTATGTCATATTCTTCCCAGACACTGATTCCTTTGAATTTCCACTGTGCTTTTCCACCAAGCCGCCTACTGATACCGTGGCTCCTCAGGAAATTTCAGCACATGGTTTCTAAGTTGGTCAACCAATTGAAATAACAGAAATTGTCTCCAAAGGATTGACATGCTCACAGATCAATTTTAAAAACTAGCAATTTTGTTCCATCTATGTAGTATTAATTTTTTCAAGAGACAACTACATCTCGGTTGGGATCAAGTAATTTAAATTCTGGATTTATTTCATAGTCAATGCTTAATGCATGCTAATTAATAGTTGTGAAGTAAGATGGACAAACAAATTGGTTTTGACTTACTTTGGGGAGATTTTTTTTGTTTCACTTTATGTAAGTCATTGATTACTGTGGTACTTCAACTTAGAAATCCATTAAGCGTTATTTAAAGACCTTTTAACTGATTTGTGATTTTCATCTTTAATGAAGGAGGGAATTGATATGGACACCTCAGAAGTCCCAGATGACTTTATTTCTTTCCATGGACTTATAAAAGTAGCCTCATTTGTTTATTTTAGGTTTAAATGAGAAGTAGTTAATGAATTTCAATTTCAGTTCATGCATGTAACATTCAGAATGAACTGAGAATAATTGTTTCCATTTCTGTAGAGAGGTTTGGAATAGAAAAATTGCGTAGTTTAGAGTTTTGTTTTTAGCGAAACATTAATCAGGAGCAGAATATAAATATTCTTCTCTGTGAGGAATATAATTAAACCAGTATATTAATAAATTGAAATGTACTTTGCATAATAAAAGTTGTTGCTCAGTTGAATTATGAAGTAAAATTGGAGAAGTGCTGAGAATTGTGACAATGCCTGGTTCCAAGACCTACCACAACCAAACTGGAGGTTGACTCCACTGAAATTGAGGTACCCTCAACCATCCATATAAAATGTGTCAGAAATAGATTGAGATTTATTGGATTATCATTGCACTTCAACGGTTTCTGTTAGAAACCCCTAATGGGGGCAATTGAAGGTCAAAGGGAGATTACCATGTGGGGGTGGGCAACTGGTTTTGGTTGCAGGTGAAATCCCATGCCTTATAGCTGACTATTCTTGGTCAATACTTAACATTACACAGGGAACTAAAACCTTAACTTTTTTTACATTTTTGCTATTTATAATTCTCAAAATGTGCTTTTTCCATCTTTGTACACATAAATAACAAAATATAACTGTCAAATATCTCAAAGCTAGCTTTGAATTTAATCACAAATGTCTTCTTTGAGTTAAGGCTGCCTTGTGCACTGCAGTGTGTAAATTGGCGAAGACTAACCTTCATCGACTGACGATATCTTATGTTTTATGTTATACTGTTCTTCAAACAAGAAGTGATAACAAATCTCACAATTAATGGTTTGGAAATTGAGGAGAGGCGATTAGCATACTGGTATTATCTTTAGGCCGTTAATCCAGAAACTCTGTTAATGTTCTGGGGTCCTGGGTTCGAATCCTGTCATGGCAGATGGTGGAATTTGACCATGAAACCATTGCTGATTGTTGAAAAATACCCATCTGGTTCCCTAATGTCCTTCAGGGAAGGAAATCTGCCATCCTTATCTTGTTTGGCCTAGATGTGACTGCAGCTCCGTAACAATGTGGTTGACTGTCAACTGTCCTCTGAAATGCTCTCCTTTCAAGGGCAGCTAGGGACAGGCAATAAATGCTGGCTAGCCAGCGATGCCCACATTCCATGAGTAAATTTTTAAAAATCCAGGAGTTGTGATTGTACCACTGGTGATTAGTATCAATTAAATTCATATGAAAATCCTGCCTATTGTTAGCCTGTTTGCGTTAACACATTCTTCACTAAGAAGGTAACAATAGTTCACCTCATTTATGTTGGACGTAATTGCGTGTCAGTTGCCCGTTTGTTTCAGTGGGTAGCTTTTTTTGCCTCTGAGTCAGAAATTTGTGGATTCAGTTCCCCTCCTTGGACAGAAAGATATAATTTGACTGATGCTCCAGTACTGAGGGAGTGCTATATTATCTGAAATGCAGTTTGCTTATTTTAATTTATGGAATGTGGATGACAGTGACAAGGCCACTATATATTGCCTACTCCCATTAGAATTGGTGAAGATGGTGACATGCAGCCTTCTTGAACTTGGGTTGCAGTTCTTGGGTTGTAAGGACACCCATGTGGTTGATTGTGTGGGCGTTCCAGGATTTTGACCCAGCAGCAGTAAAGGAATGGCATTACATTTCCAAATCAGGAGGATGAGCAGTTTGGACTAGTACCTCCTGGGGCTAGTGTTCCCATGTACCTGCTACCCTTGTCCTTCTAAAGTGGTAGCGGTCATGGGTTTTGAAGGTGCCATCAGAGGAGTCTTGGTGAGTTGCTGCAGTGCACTTGTAAATGGTACACACGTCTACCACAGTGATCAGTGGTGGAGGGAATGACTATTGAAGTAATGGAGATTTGATGAGACATTAAACTGAGCTCTAGTATAACTTTTCCCATTGTTTTAATGGACACAAAAGATGCTATGTCAGAATTTAAACAGCGTAGCTTTTTTATATATTTCTCACCTATATAGTACCACCAAGAAAAGTATGGTTATTTACAGAAAGCGCATTCAACAGATCTGATAGCATCTGGGAAGAGTGTCTTCAGAAAGACCCCAAATCAGTATCATATTAGATTCAGAACATTAACTCTGTTCTTCTCTCTCCACAGCTGCTATTAGACCTGCGGAGATTTTCCAGGACTTTGAGTTTTTATTCGAGATATCCAATACCTGCGGTATTTTACTTTTCTACGAGCTTGTTATTTCTGCCAGTTTTGTTAAGTGCATGAAAAATAATCATTATCTTTGGCGTTCTTACCAAAAACCATTGCTGTTTAACATGACTTTTAAAGGATTTTAAACATAGGTGGTGGCCCCAGCCTCTGGCTTACAAGTGAGGGAATGAGCCCACCTCTACTTGGCTGGGAGACTTTAGCGGATTTTAGAACTCAGAGAGACACACTCGCAGAGGCACTCACACCGTTCCAGCTTGCCTTGGGTGGGGAGTCATGTAAAATACCTCTCAATGTATGAGAATCTCTTTATTATGTCTTTCAGGGGGTTGATGAAGTGTTTTGTAAAAGCCACTTTAATGATATGGATTGTGGATGCACAATAAAAAGTTCGCTGGCTTTTTTGCCCATCCTCTTATCACCTGTAAAGTTTAGCTCATTGGCTGGCGAGTACAGAGACCGGAAACTCCATTCTTTTATGTTTTATTTAGGACATAATTTCTTTGCTTAGATGCTTTCTTATCTAAGTGAGTAAATATGATGATTTAGGAACTTCGAGTGCCCTATGTTATTTTCTCGTTGGAACGGTGAGTGGGCAAGGGAACGACTAATCAATTCTTACCCCACTTGTATGATGCATGCATTCTAGGCAGCAAATTCAAAGTAGCATTGTACTCATGCACCAGGAAAAATGAATGGTTTTTATATCATCGTTTCCTCGTACGGAAAAGAACACTTTAAGCCCCAGGTTACTCGATTGCCTTGTTGGGATAAATAATTACAACCCTGCCATTTTTTTATGGTTTGTGGGATATTTGCACAAATAAAACTGATTTGAATTACAGGGAGACCCAACTGGTAAAAGAATGATCACTTGTACCTAACGGGCAAGTCTCCATGGTTTCATAAACTTGAACACCAGAAACAGCGGATCAAATAGTGTCATAAAAAATAAAACATTAATGAATTTCTTAGTCTCATATTATTGTGTCAATACATCTCCATTTACTTGTTTAACTGGATTAGTGGGATCAATTTGATCAGGTAGCTCAATTGGCTGGATGACTAGAGTGTAAAATAAAAGCAAAAAGCTTGATTCAGTCTTTGTTCTGGCTGTGGAAGCCTGCCTCCTCATCTTGCCCCATGCTTGTGAAGTGGCACCAGTCAAGCATACAGAACTAATTAATTGTGTTTCTCTAATGGAGAGAGATGACTGGTGGTCCATTGTAGAATATGGCTCATTGCATTTTTTCAATGGCTTGATTACTTTGTCTGTTTAATTTGTTGCTTTTCTTTCCATCCCTTTTGAATATGTGGGAACAAAAGTAAGGGACTACTGCCCAAAAAAAAATCACTGACCAACTGTCTAAAATAGAAGCAGGTGGAACAGCAAGATGTTAAAGGACGACCAAATCTGAGAAGGAACTTTGATACCAACTTCCAATTGGCTGAGCATCTGCAGCAGGGGAGGTGGGCAGTATTTGTTTTCCATTACCTTTTATATAAGAGAGGGCTTCTATCCATCCCTGAATTGCCTTGTTTCATTTTTTTGCATTATGCTTCCTTTTACTGGATGCCCCTATGAAAGCAAAATATTTCTCTGTTGCTAGCCTATGAAATATGTGCAGAATTTTGAATACCACAGTTATATCACCCTCCAACCTTATGAATTCAAGGGAATGGAACCCAAGTCATGCACCTGTCTTCATAGTTTAATCCTTTAGGCACCAGTGCTAAAGCCTCTGGATCCACACATAGCCAGTCGTAGAGCTCTTTTACCTACGACAAGGAAACCTTTCTGCATCAGCGCATGTTATCACAGAAGCTCAGACTTCTTAAAGGGCTGGTGGCTCAGCTGGCTGGATGGGAGGTGTGGATCAGATTGGTGGCCCAGTTGGTACCACCCATTCACTCCCTAACTGTTAAATTCTGTCCCAGGTCTCACTCCCAGGCTTCAGCAAAAAGGCAAAGCCCTCTAGCATCATACCAACTGAGTGCTGCACTTTCAGGGTTGTCATTGCCTGGGTGAGACATTAAAATCAAGTCTCAGTTGGTTACTCGAGTAGATATAAAGATCCTGTAGCACTATTTCCAAGATTATCCCATTGGCCTGGCCAATTTTTACCCTGCGATCAGCAAGTTTATCTGGTCATTATCACATTGCTAACTGTGGGAGTTTACTGCATGCAAATTGGTTTCCCATGCTTACAATATTACAATAGTGATCTCACATCAAGAAACGCTGAATTGTCTACAAAGTGTTTTGGGACATCCAATAGTTGAGACAATTATATTGAGCAAGTCTTTCCTTGTATATGTTAATAAGTATCACATTGACACGTTTTATTTTGACTTGATCTATTTAAATGTTTGCAAAACTAAAATAGCTGCCCATTTCCACTCATCTTATCATGCCAACTGTATCATGAAGCACCAAACATGTTCACAAACCCTCAAAAACAGAAATTGTTGGAAAAGATCAGCAGGACTGGCACATCTGTGGAGAGAAATCAGAGTTAACATTTTGGGTCCAGTGACCCACATAACACTGCTGAGTTAACACCTTTTTGCTATAATGTTTGCACAGGAATTTGACATCTAGAAATAGGGTCATTTCATTTTCACTAAACAGACATACAACAGACATCAAAAATTTCTACATTTTACCACATGGTGAACAATGATAAGCAGTTATTTGTTGTGAATTGATATCTCCTGGTAATTGAATTATGCCGCAAAACATTTCACTTATAACCATTGTAGTTGGCAGAGAATCATCTTCACTTGATTGATTGTAACTCACTCAAACTAAGACCCAGAGATAAAAACACTTGCATTTACAGAAGCAAATTACTGCAGATGCTAGAATCTGTACTGAAAACAACAAATGCTGGAGATCACAGTGGGTCAGGCAGCATCCATGGAGAGAGAGCAACCTAATGTTTTGAGTCTAGAAGACTTTTCATCAGAGTTCTGATGAAGAGTCCTCTAGACTCTAAACGTGAGCTTGCTCCATCTCCATAGATGTTGCCTGACCTGCTGTGATCTCCAACATTTGTTGCTTTCCCCTACATTTACAGTTCCCCTTGCTTTATACTCTGCTGCTACTGAGTACCACACTTTGTGAAATGTCAAAGTCAAATGCCGAGATTGTTAATTCCACGTTGTAACACAGGCCAGTATGTTCTAACAAGCTGTTCTGTCTATGCAGGTGGAGAAATACCTTGAGGGATTGTGGTGTGGAACTATTTAACAGATGAAGGAATTGTCAGAGACCTGACAAATTGCACCAAAAGCAAAAGACAACACCCAAGGAACACAAACACAGAAGGTTACTTAAATCTCTAAATTGAAGATGATATAGCACCAACGGGACTGGCGGCATAATGATTTAAATATTAATCATTTAAACTCTGCAATTACTGGTATCGGACATTTTAACCAGCCTGGCTACTCGAGCGTATCTGACATCAAACCTGCTGCTTAGAAAATTCTTGAGCTACCACTGCTGGAAAAGTAAACTTACACAAATTACCCCCATGTTACAAGCTAAAAGCACTTGTGGTTTTAAAATGTTGTCCAGCATTTTGTAATTGAGACAACACTTTGCACAAAATGCAACAATGTTTTCATAATATGAAGCCTTTAAAATATGGTAAACACATGCCAAACTTCTGTTGACTCATGAAAACTTATGTACCAAAATATTTGCGTAGGGTCTCAAATATTTTTGCAAGTTGTCTGCCACCTTTGCATTAGAACCTACCTCAAAAGCTTTATTTAATTTTAATATTTACAATAATGAATATGAGAATTGAGGAATTTCACAAGGTAATTGCTCAAATAATTTAAAACTTTACTGTAGATTTGTTCTAGTGAGGCGGCTACTGGAATTCAAATAAAAGTGAATGTTGTGGAGAATATAGTGTATTTGTTGTTAATGATGTAAAGCTCCATAATGGACCTGGGGACGCATTATTCAACAATTTATGTAGCAGTTTGCAATTCAAGATAAAATCATTACAGCTTAATCAACTAAACAAGCAAATAATATTTTAAAGGGATATGAACAGAATACCAGGCCATAATAATTAAGCTCAAAAGTTCTACATAGACATTGAACCTTGATGTTTAATGGAATCAATTGAACCATCTCATTTTATGCCAAGCAGCAGAATCAACAGGTTTCAATAATTTATTATACTTGTTATCTAGGCACTTGCAGAAACAAATATAGATGAGAAAACCACACAAAACATTACTAAGAATATTCAGTCTTTACAAAACCAGTGAAACACTCAAGAAAGAAATGAAACTTTTTTTTGTTTCACTTCATTGACTGCTCTGTAAGATTAAATCACAATAAAGTCCTGATTGCAAAGCTTTTTTAAAAAAAAATGTTTGTACAAATGGATGGTAAATGTCAGCAGGTACCTTTATATGTAACATTGCCTGTAAGCAGTATATATGAAAGAAACAAAATTTTACAAATTAGGGATTGACTGGTACTGTCAGAGGTCCGTACTTTCAGTTCAAGTGAAATCCTGCTCTCTGTGCCATCGTAAGGATCCCAAGTCCACGATATTAATTAATTCAGTTCCCAGTGAGTTGTTGACAGTGCAAACCTTGCCTGAACACACAAATTGCAATATTTCTCCCAGTTCACAAGCAGCTGATGTGAACCTTGTGCAGTTCCTGATGTGGAATTGGTTAATGGCATTGGATAACCCAAACAGCTCGCTTGCCTCTGCTATCCTCACCATAATGAGCACAGAAGTGAATGAAAATCAGTCAAATCTGTTTTTGTAATAAACCAAATTGACTAGCTATTGTTGCAGAACCATGAAACATCACCAACATAAGTATATAACTTAGTCCTGTATTTCTTCAGGGAATGACCTGTAGTGTGTATAAACATGTATTGATCTATTTGGATTTCCACAGTCGTGTCTGTTCAAACCCATTTTCAGGATCTTTGGGGAAGCTTTGCCTGGAAAGATTTCCCCAATCTCACTTAAAACGGACTTTTCTTAATTAACTCACTAATAACTCTGTATATGAAGAATCCAGCATATTCTTTCTGTCCAGGATCGGGTGCTGAAAAGAAGATTGCAATTTTCTAGCACTTTTTTTTCCACTTTTCCCTCACTCGCTCTTGTGCTCGCTCTCTCTCTCTCTCTCTCTCGCTCTCACACACAGAATTATTTTGAAATACAATGACTTTTATAACATGTGCAAACACAGATGCATGTATCTTTGTGTATTGCAGGAATCAGCAGACAGCCAAATCTGCATGAACACTTAATCTGCATTTACTTGTTGCGGGAGAAAAGTCGAGTGGGGACACTGGAAGAACCCAGACAGAATAGGCATCAGCTTAGGGTTCTCATTCAAAGGACAACACCAATGATAATGCATTTTAGTGGTGTGCCAAATTAGACTGCACAGTCATAATTTTCTGAATCCAGGCATCACTGAGTGTGAAGTTTATGTTAAACTTTGCACAACCTAATAAACCTGTTCTTCATTAAAATTAAAGTTATTTAACCATACTTTACACGTGTATCTGTTACATAACTTAGATGCATTAGACTCAGAATTGTAGCTTTATTTGTTAAGATTCAGTTCCTAATAATTGACGTTATATTCAGGATGTGCTAATCAACTATATTTGGTCTAATATAGTGTGAAATATAAACTTTGTGGTAGTTAATGGAAATGTTGCTTTACTGAAAATGCAATAAGTAAATGAAACATTACTGAACACAGGGCAATAAGCAGAATAACATTACTAAACACAGGGCAATAAGCAGAATAACATT